AGGTAGTGTTACATGGACAGTGGAAAATTAAGACCTGTTTAAAATTATTATTAAGACCTAGAACACAAACTAAGCAAATTTAAGACTTTTTAAGGTGTTAAAGTTTGATTTTGAAATTTAAGAATTTTTGGGTAATTTTTTATACCTTTTTTATGATGGTCTTTTCATTATTTGGTGATAATTGTAAATAATAACATTATATGTTTTTCCCCTATATAATAAAAACAACTGTTTACTCTTATATTTACTCTTGTTCTGTACAAAAATATACTTACTCTTTATTAATAAACACAATAATACTACTACTTTGTAGTAGTATTACTGTAGTATTTGAGTACTTTGTTCTCAACTGTAAAGTGACAATGCCTTTGAAGGACAGACTTTTTGAATTTTAATGTGAAAATGTTGTGTTTTATGATGACGCAACAATTCTGTGAGGATTCATCTTTCACGGGCAATAAAATAAGAAAGAAAGCTCTCCCTTTCCAGTTTCATAACTGTGTTGTGTTTCATAATATGAGCAGAAATTGAACTTTCAGTGAAACCATCTCCCTGGGGCATCACACTGAGCAGGGGATTATCTTTGCCCCCATTACCCTTTTGGAAGAGGGAGAGAGATCTCCTCACTCTCATTTAACCCATTACAACCCAAACCGCTAAGCTGACACTTTACTATGAGTGCACAGAACTCAAGTCAGCAATGTCACACCATTATGGATTATTACCAGACTTTGTGCTCTCCAGACTGCCCAACTGTCCGCAGGCACCATGAGTACAATACCTGAATACCTGTACTAAACTGTGTCCATACCAAATATTTAACCAAACCCAAAAATTTAAGATAAGATATAACTTTCTTCGGTCGACATAGCAGCACAAAGGAATATGAAAGAACAGATGCAGTATTGTAGAATATTCAACGCTATTCACTAATAAATGATTTACAACAAGATGAATGTCCGTTCATAATCTGTCATTCATACTCATTAAATGTTCTGCTTTAAATAATTTATATCTTGACACTTATTTGGCAAAGTTCTTGTATGCAGCCTGTCACCCGGTCCAAACTAAAAGTAAATACTGACGCTAGGGCGGCCCCCGATAGTCTTACTCGACCAACTTTTCATTAGTGGGTGAGAGGAGAGCCTTGAGCACAGCACGATTGCGACAGTGTGAATGCAAAGACGAGGAGAGACGCAATTTCCTGCCGGAAGACGCAAAGCGTGTGACCACGCAATATATAGTGCCCTACTCTCAACTGCATGAGTTTAAATTTTTCAACTCCAGTCACGTGACACTGTGTCACTATAGCCTATCAGCGTTGAGATTGTCAGATGGAAGCCAGAACTTTTGATAAATAAACACCCCAGGGTTGGGCGACGTCTACAAAATTTCCATCGGACGATGTCTACATTGAAACTCTTATGTGCATGTGTTCACTCGCAAAGACTTTACTCTGTTAATAACTTGGTAGCCTATGACGTTACAAGTCCTAGCGGAAATTTTACAAGTACAGACCAGGTAAAGCAGAAGTGAACACACAGGGTGCAGGTGTTAGTTGGTTTGATAGGCTGCGTCATTAACAAGCCCACAAGCAGCTCACCTGCTGCTGTGATAACAGTTCGCAGGTGGAAAAATACCGAATAGACTATTTCTGTCTCTTTTAGGCGACTTTATAAAAACATACTGCTTATGGAGAAAGTGGAGTAGACAGGCGAGGGGGGAGACAGAGAGAGGCGGGGCAAGCCGGTGTGTTTACCTGAGGTGTAGGCCTCGTGCGTCTGAGTGTGGGGAGAAGAGAATTCAAAGCATATTTAAAATTTATAGTAATAATGTTCATGGTGATTAAAATCTGCTTTCACATGGCGGTATTATGTGAACATTTTTGATATTTTTTTGCCAGGGGGTGGGGTTTTACAATCACAATGCCTGCTCAAGCATCGTCAATCGGCCCACCCTAAAACATCCACAGTCAGACTACATTCTGCTCTGACAACTGCATTTTAAAAGTGTAGCTGACAAACCTGCCAAAGCATGAATTCATATTTTTAACAAATCTGCATCATGTTGTAGTTATTTCTGCATCAACTTGATCTGTTTATTGCAATTAAATCACAGCAAATTGTTTTTTTTTTTTGGTTTTACACCACTGTAGTAATAGCAGGTTCTGTTTATTCACATTATAGCATTGTATGTAAACACCCAGAGGAGTAATCCAGCGATCAAATTCACGCAAGAAAAACATTGAAGATTTAATTTGCGTTTGGTCAGTCAGTCAGTCTAAAAAGATTTCAGAGTTATACATATATTAACCTTAGACATCATTCACCGTTTTGGTGCACTACAGCAAACCTTTGAATTGTTGAATGCGTTCTGCATGAACGGTTACGATTATTGACAAATTAGTGCTTGACATTAACAAATTACTAACAACCCACAATGTAGACCATTGTTCTTTGAAGGATTTAATGAATGAAAATAACCCACAAAAATGAGACTGCTGTCGTCCAACCTATTATACAAGCAGTAAGCTATGTAGTAGGTAAATGATTATTTTCATTAATCGACTAATCTGCCGACTATTTTCACGATTAATCGACTAATTGTTAAGTCTATAAAATATCAAGTAATTGTGAAAAATGCTCATCTTTTCCAGAGCCCAAAGTGATGTCTTTAAATTGCTTCTTTGGTCCAACCAACTGTCCAAAACCAAAACACTCTTCATTTACTATCATAAATGACAAAGAATAGCAGCAAAACCTCAATTTAAGAAGATGAAATCATCAAATTTCAACAAAAAAAATAATAATACCTGAAACGATTAATCGATCATCAAAATAGTTAATTGACTAATAGTTGCAGCTCCACTATATAGTAGGCTATATTAAATTAAATTACAATGATCATAGTAATACTATAATATTAATATAATGCCAACAGTAAACTATATAATAACATTATACTTGTTATTTAATGTTATAATATTACACAAATTTATACTAGTCACTCATCCATGTTGTGGATGGTGCATCTGCAGTGGATGTAGATTTAGCCAGAGCCAGGATGCCACTGTGCCTCATGAGAGAAACACATTCCTCTTGTTATAGTTTAAGTCTATTTCACTAACGTTATTGTTATATATATTGTTCAGTAATCTTGTTTACATAAAATGTGAGTGGGTGGGGCCATCCCTAGTTCAAAAACTACAAGTCCCACATTCCACAAGCAGCAATAAAAGCACCAATCACAGTAGAGTTTTCTGTGGTGAGTGTTTTCATTCATCACTGTGATCAATATTTTAAAGCCTATGCCGAGTGTCCAGATACTAGAGTCTTCTCTTCCACAGTCCCCCACTGGTTTTCACATCATAAATGTAGTATATCTTCAATCCAAAAATTTCTTCCAAGGGAAAATATTCATCTGAATACCTCAACAAAAAGGACACTGATCAAACTGCACACCTCCTAAGCATTACATATTAATTTTACATAATTTGAATGATATCTGTAACTCCTTGCCTAGTATCTTCTGATTTAACAGAGGTTTTATAAGTCAAAGCTATAAAGAAATAAAACTCCCCAGTGCTATGTATATTCAAATTATTACAGGACAGTTTATAGGAGCTTCTCTATGTATGTCAAAGCATGCAGCAAAACAGTGAACAAGTACTATTCAAAGTATTTCGGAGTACAATGTTTTCATCAAACTTTGTTTGTGCAAGATATAATTTAATGCATGTGTATTCTCACTAAAAAGGCACTTAAAACCACATTTGGTTGTGATAATGAACCACAGACATGTTCAACCTGTGGCAGCTAAAAAGCTGAAGTTGTTTGATTACATATCATGGAAGTGGTTTTGGAGATCGAGACAGCTTATAGAAACAGACAACCGCTTCTTTCAATAACAAAACATGGTTACTTTGTTTATGATTTAATTTGCGGTAATGTTCGGTCCCATGGCATTTAATGGGTTATTATCATGATGACAACGTGTCTGGAAAGATGCCCCTGCTCTTAAAAGTTTGACAACATTATGCTCAGCGGGCAAAAACAGCTTCTAACAGAAAGGCTTTCTTACAGGTGGATAACCATAAGTCGCTAATAGATGTAACTCTTAACGACAGCTACCAAAAAAGTAAGTTGAAATAAACATGAAATAACTTTAAAAAGGTTTTTTTTTTTTAAAAAACACGCTCTTACTCAAAAGCAAGTTTATGCTGTCAAAACATCAAGCGCCTAACGCTAACTCACCAAACGTCTCCGCTGAGTTGTGTCACAGTGATTTGACATGAAGCTGGTAAGGCAACTAACTTATAGTCTGCTACTAATATCTCATCACCCATCTGACAACAAAGCACTGCGTTACCGGCTAACGTTAGATTCAAGTCAACTTCGTGTTAAACCATTGTTTACAAACGCAAACCAGGCGCTTCTGTGCATAGCCAAGTTAGCAGGCTAAGCAAGTTAGCACACAATATACCTTCCTGTCACATAACGTTGGTCGAAAGTTGACCGTCGATATTGGCAACGTTAGTATTATCGAGGGTGGCGTATTGTGGCGTGCTTACACCGAGAACTGTACGATTAATTCAGTTCAATAAAATTGGCGTTGGCTAACTAACGTTACTCCGCAGTTCTGACAACTAGCTTAGGTAGCTAGCAACGTTAGCAACAAGCTAGCTTAGCCTAGCCGTGTAGCACGTGTTCTTGATTTATAAAATAATTAACTAACATGACGATAGCCAGCAAGCTTTGGATAATGTGGTGAGATGAGCAACCCGCTAGTTGAGCTGTTCGCTATCATTAATATTTGTCAAAGATTCGACGAACCGTTTAGTTGTAACGTAACGTATAACGTTAGCCTCGAAAAGGTCAATACTGCTATGGATGTTTCTCCTCCAAAGAATAGCCGGACCCCGTTGTCCAACAACAGAATAGACATACCCACCACCACCACCACCACCACCAACGGACAACCAGCAATGGAAGCTAACTAACCTTAGCGGGGTAAGAGAAAGCATTCGGCGGTGTTATCGTACAGTAGCGTAATGTCCCAATCTTCGTCAGTCGGTCCAATTTCTCTTAAAAAGCTTCTCGCTTCGATTGGGTGTCTCGCCACTGAATTAATCCAAATCAAATAGTAGTTTTCGTTTTCATTTGTTCCGCTAGCGGTTTTCAGCGATGCCGTGCCTGTTCCAGCACAACACTGTGGTGTAGCACTACTCCCTAAGCCGCTACTGCTGAGACCATAGCGGGGCTGAACCGCCTCTCTCTCTCTCAATAGGTCCGCATGCTCTCTCGCCCCTCCTCTTTACTCAAGGACTGCACTTTTCTCATGCCCACAACAAATTCAGTGATAAAGTCGTGTAGTGTAGTAAAGTCAACAAAAACAAAAAAATATAAATGGCAAGTGGGATTTCCCACCGTTTCTTTTTCTTTAGTAGGTTTTGCAGTACTTTCTATACATTATTTATCATGTCTGATATGCATCCCTGCACACAACATGTAACCTACATGTTTCTGTACATATAGCTAAATATGTTCATGTTTCTTTATAGTTTTCTGTAAGTGTAGCCTATGCATGCTATTGCTATATGATCTGATAATGTTAAAAGCTATACAAATCATCAACAGTTGTGGGGACATAAGGGTTCAGATTACGTTTACATTTACTCATTTGGCAGACGCTTTTATCCAAAGCGACTTACATTTGAGGAACAACAAACAAGCATCAACAGAGCATCAAATACAGATCTACAACTGACAATACATACTAGTAAGAGCAGCAATAAATACTAGTAAGAGCTCATAGTTCATATCACATCAATGGGGTTGATGACACACTTGGGTCACAGGATGTAACGATGCACGAGAACAAAAGGAGAAGATTTTTAACACTATTTTAAAGAAATGGGAAATGCTAAATTATATGAGCGGAAGGTTACTTTTTTGGACAATGAACATTTTTAACAAATGCTTTTAAAAAGTGGTGGGGACAAAATCAGCAATTTCAAAATGTGGTGGGGACATGTCCCCAGTGTTAATGATACCTAGCTTTACAAATATATAGGCGATATTTAATCTACATCACAATGTACATATAAGTGTACATGAAAGGTATTCAGTCTTCATTTGCATTTCATCTGCGCAGACTGAATCCCTTTAATGTGGACAAAACTTTGATAACTTTATTTTATAAATCTTTTGTTGAGTCAGTTTTAATTCTTTGTTGCATAGTTTGGCATGCAAATCTTACAGTGCAAAGCAAAAATAAACTGTCTAACATTGTTAAGGTAGCCAGCAAAATAATTGGCACTCAACAACTCTCTTTGGCAGACATCTATGATCTACATAATAGACAAGTTATGCGTAAGGCTCGGACTATCATAGCCAGCTCTGACCACCCTCTTTTGGAGAAATTTGTTTGGGCGAAGATACAGATTCCCCAGGAGAAAAACTAACAGATACAACCATTTCAACTGTTTGAGTACTTTCAGACAAACAAATAGATGTTGTACACGGTAACGGCTGTTCTTGTTTTGTTCACATCTCATGTATGTTTGCTTGTGTTTCTGTTCTTAAATCCTTTTGCCAATCAAATTTCCCCTGGTGGGACAATAAAGATTGAATTGAATTGAGCATATAGGTCTAGCACACATTCCTCATTTAGCTGACTATTATTGACTGATCTATTATTGAGATTTACCATCACCTGAATCACTACCCTTGTTACTCAAACATATTGTTGGCACACACATGGTCATATTATCAACAACTTGAATTGTCCCTCTCACGCTACAGCTGTGAGGACAAAACCCTCTGTATTCTCTTTCCCTCTGTGCCTGCTCCAGTCATCAGTTCAAGCGTTGACACACCAGGACATCTACATCTGTGCTGCTTGATGCCTGCGGAGAAGTACAAGCTGTGAATACAGTGACTTAACATTGAAGGATAGTATTTGGAAGAGCACAACATACCATGCTGTGTACATAGTTAGTGATGACACTGCTGAAGCCAGTGCCCTCTTAATGGTCTGAAACCTCTCTGTCTGCTTCACAGCTAAACTGGCTTCTAAAACCACCACCCATACTGCTGCTATTTCAGTCCCATAAAAGAGTAAGTTTTAAAGTATTTAAGTCAGTCAGTGGGGCTCATTAAAGAAAGAAACCTGCTGTTCTGCTCACGCTAAGGTAATTCATTTCACTCCATTTATTGTTTTATAATTTTGATTTTGTATTATGTCATTCCACTGGCAATGTGACTTTACCATATAACTATCTGGCACACTTTAGGCAGGCTATATCTTGACCTAAATTTCAGCAGCAGCCTTCCCTATGATGTCAGATGGAATTGTTTTTCTTCCCCTTGTTTTTCTTTCCGCTCTGTGGTTTGGGAGACCCCTTCTAACCATCAGTATAACCACCATCTCTTCATCCAGCCATCACAGAGCAGGAAAACGAACTGTTTATTTCAGCCGGGCTTTCAGGACCCAGACGCATGTCGGGAATAATCTATCCCCTATCTCTGCAATGCCCAATTTGTCAGCTCACTGATAAAGGACAAATGTTTCTCACTTGCCAGTTTTGATGTCAACAGCTGTGTTTCATTTGCAGCTAGATCCCCAAGTAGAGTTAAATTGAGCTTCAGACAAAGCCCGAATGGCCAGATGAACTGTCTTGAGTAACAGTAAATACTTGACATATGTATGAAGGACACTTGATTTCAAAAATACATTTGCAACCCACTTCATGGGGAAACACCTGAGGCAGATCTTCTACAAGTTATTAAAAAAAGAACTGGAGAGGATTGTTTAAATAGATCCAGAGCCCACATGAAAGGCACCACTGAGAGTGACTGCATCAGCTAAGCAGACTTCAGTGATTTCAAAGGCTGTCAGTTGATAGATGCACTGCAGACAGTCATTACAGTCCTGAAATAAAAGATGAACAACAGAAAATCCTTCAGAACAGAGAGGAGGCTGGAGGGAAAATCCTCATCAAAACAGCCCTCTTAAAAGATGAGCTGCCATCCGGAGTCTACCAGATTAATGGAGCTCCCTTTGTGGATGATCAGCTTTGATTACAAATTCAAATACTCCTCTGCTGGTGCCATCGTCCAAAACTTTGCCTGATTAGAAACACATTATTACTCTCTGCCATTCTTAGTTTTCTATTGTCTTCAGGGGTAGTTCAGTTAGACTTAAACTAATTGGATTCAGGCACAATTCAATGAGAAACACCAAATCATAAACATGAAATATCTCTAACCAAAATCATATGTTCCGTTTATAATGTGATCTGTAGGTGAAGATGATGGATACTATGTGGCACGTGTTGCTATTTATAACGCTGTTATAATTACATGCCAGATTCTTCCTTGGGCTATGATGTACATTTTTAGCTGAGACATAATTCATTCTGCCATCGCTGGCATTTATTATTGTCACAACTGGGCTCGAGTCAAACAGCCTGGGAAAATTATCTTTCTCTGTAGATATCCGAGGGAGAGACAGAAAGCGAGAGAGGAGCCTGTTTTTTTTTCCATCTGTTTAATCATGACACTATTTTCCTCGTATCATTCACAAAGATTTACAATGCAAAGCCAAGGCTGAAATTTATTCACAGCCACAAGACTTCACCAAATTGCCTCCTCCTCACCTCAAACAAAGACAGCACTGAGAGCAAAAATGGCAGAATCTCACTGAAGAGTCCAACGACTGCCTGCATTGTTGGAATTCCGGCTTAACTTCCTGAGCCTGTCCACACCTGGCCGACCGCCAGCACACGCTTTTCTCTCATTTTTTCCTTTCCTTCCCTTTATCAAGATCATATGTAGACTACATTTTACTGTTGAGACATAATATCTTTCCAACCTCACCCACATGTAATACAAAGTTGGATTATGCTCTCTGTCTTTGTTACATCATGTATCCGTGTATTTTAACAGCGCCTTTATCACTGAAATTGATTTATTTTAAATCTGCGCTGGGCAGAAATCCTTTTAACACATTTTTGATTTATGATGATGATGATCACTTAAATAAGCCCAGTAATGGAAAACACCTCTAGCAAGAGTTTGTTTAATCATTCGTATTTTACAATTTTATTTCAGTTGCATCAAAAAAATCAATGAACAAATCACACACTGTTGTATGTGCTTCAATAACAAATCTGAATATTTAACAAGAGGCATGTCATGATGTCATGTGTTCTCTAATTTCCTGTGGCAAATTGTGCCTTAATTTCTTCGCTGTCGCTGGCTGCTGTGGGTGTGACAGACATAGTCACACTTGTCCCGTGTCCAAGTGAACCCCTGTAATGAAACTGGCAGTGGCACAGCATCGCTGGGGCTTAGCTCAGTCAACCATCTGTTAGGTTGCATGGATTCATGCGGAGTAAACTAAAGTGGACCTTGTACAGACATGTTGCAGCGTGGCTGTCATGACACCAATGTTCACCATGAAACCAACAACGACAACAAAGACTCATTCCTGTCTCTTTGTAATGATAAAAACATGCAAGGAGAGTATGATTCACAGCCTTTCATGTCAAGGTTTCATCACTTTAAGTTAATTAGATACAGAGACAAGATACATCATACAGTATAATATGCATATATATGCATGTATATGAACATTCACACATGGATCAAATTTTGGCATTGGTAAGGCTTTTCAGAAATATTAAATAGCTAGTCAGCCCAAATATCTGCTCTCTGATCATGTGCCACAGCATCCACAGACAGCATTAGCAGTGATAACATTGATGCCTTTTTCAGATGAAATCAGGTCACGGTGTTGTGGACTTTCAACAGTAGCTGTGTGATAATCCTTGGCAGTTGATGAAAGAGTTAAAGGGAATCAAAGTGGTTTTCTGCCTGCATGGATATGTACACCTTTTTCAAGCAGAATGGGGCAAGCATGTCTACCAATAATGGACACCATCTCTGACAGAAGAATTGACATTTGATCCTGTGGTGAAGATAAGAGTTCAATCCATCCTTTCCAGGGAGGACACATAAAGAATTCTTTTCTCATCCCCCAAGGACATAGCCAGCTTTGGCTGCAGTTTTCTCACTAAGTGGCCGAGCCATAAGCCCAGAGGTGAATTGCTGCTGCTCAGCCAACTCAAATACGGCTCTGCAGGAAGTGCTGAGCTGGATGGACTTGCGCTGCTGCGTCTAATGTTAAAAGCCCAGCCAGTGCTAGTCCTTCACCACTTTACAGCACAATATTATCTA